AACGGGTGCATCTGTGTTCAACCAAACCATTTCCAACAGGTTACATATATCAGATAAATTCAGCAATATTAGTCGGCTTAATCTAATTATTTATCTAATCACCTAAATGAGGTTTTTGGAATAATAAACGAAAATTGTTATGTCTTTCTAATCCAACTGTTCGCTAGAGTCCAAGAATGACCAGAAGCAATTTAATTTCTATATGTTTTTTTAAATATGCATTTAGGACCTAACTTTTTCATCGAAATGCATATAAATATATATATATATATATAAAACATAGAAATTAAATTGCTTCTGGTCATTTTTGAACACCGGTGAACAGTCGGATTAGAAAGACATAACAATTTTTGTTTATTAGTCCACAAACCCCTACCATAAATAAGGTTACATAAAGACGGCTGCACGTACTGTACCATAGACCACATACACTCCTTAGTAGAAGCAGCTTGGGAAAGAATACCTCTGACAGCCATCAATAACCCCATTGATAGTATGCCTCGCCACATATCGGCCTGCATAACAGCCCGTTGGTGTCATATTTGTTACTGAATAAACCGGTGTCTATCTGTTGCATATTTTTGTTCTTCTAATCATTTGCATATCTCTGATGTTGCGGCTACCCGCATTTCTTTGTAGTGTCGCGATCGCACTTTTGAGTTGTGTATAATTTATTTTTTATTTATTTTACATTTGCGAAGCCAGTTTTGGGACAAGACTGTCTCCGAGAGAGCGAGCAACGCCTGTTTGTAGAAACAATCTCAGCATTTGGTATTTTCTTTTGACCCGGTTCTCAGTTTCCTGACTACCTATAAGTCTGGTTTATTTTATGTATGCATGATTTGGGCACCAAATACTCTGTGCCAAATTGCAACTCCTGACATGTACAGTACTCCTTCATACCTTTAAGGTGTGCAACCGTTGACAGCAGCGCGATTTTAAAGAAGAGACAAAGTCTCGTCAATGAAGACAATAAAAATTATATAATAACAAGAATATAAAAAAGAAAGGCAAAATGACATAAGAACATACAAAATCTTACATTATATAGAAATCGTCGCATAAATGTTTGTATTTTGTAAAGTCCTGAAGAAGATGATGTTCAACAGGAGACATGTAATCAATGGAACGGTTAATGAAAGATCTATGAGATAGCGATAATAATCGATAAAAAGGATTATATAGACATGATAGTGATGGAGTACTTCAGGAAGGAACTTTCAGTTTGAGCCGATAATTGGATATTATGTATTAAAATATGCATAAGCTAAAAGACAATCGATGTATTTGACTCTTTCTTTGAAATCAAGTAATCCCAGTCTGACTCTTGCCACTTCAGTATTATTAGTATATGGTAGATAGCAAAATTTGTTCAGAAAGAAATATACTTTGTTTATTTTATTAGTGTATTTTTACTTATAGCTTTTATTGTAGATGAATGCTATTGTTTCGGAATATAGCTATATTAAAGTAGTCTGGAAAAGGTTAGATAGGATGGGTTGTAATGTAAAAAAAAAAATAAAAAAAATAGATGGCAGGTACACGACCCGCACTAAAATTTAAGTGTTTTGGCATGGTGACGGGTTTTTTTAACTTTTGAAACCGATAGACTACAACGATTGGTAAAATTATTACATGAAAGCGCAATAAATTAGCACTAGATAAAATACGAAAAAATCTAGCTTTAATATTGTTGTAAATCTTATATGTCATGTCAGGTATATATTGTTTTTCTTAGGTATTTTTCGAGGAAACTTACGGATAAATTCCCGAAATGTACGAGGGTTAAATGCAAAATTAAATATAACACTTATAATTTCCAAAAGATACTTGGCATTCTTTATAACAGGGGTGTCTAACCTTTTTGTTTCTCTAAGCCACATTGGAAGATGTCATGGAGTTTTGGGCCACAAGTATATGTACAGTATATTATGTCCTAACCTTAAATATACAAGTATATTAAGGATTAAAATATCTAGATTATAGTAATAAGTATTAAAACTATATCACGAAAAAGGATATTTTAAAACATTACTTCTACAGACACTTTAAAGTGCATTTTTATTCAACTAACATATTTATAAATAATATGTAGCCCAAAAAGTATCCAATGCGCGAAATGATATTTTTTATGCAAACTAAAAGAAAGGGTGGCCAAATCTTGCAACGTCGGAAGAAATACTAAATAAAGCTGGAGTTGGGACTCAAAGGATTATAGACCCAAATGCGGTGAAATGGGAGATAGGACAAAAGATAAAGAAGTGAGAAAGGTTGGAAAATTAAGGGTTAATATTTGCAAACAGAAGGTGTATTTAACCCACAACTTTTTATCTTTTGGTCTTTCGTTTCCCCGAATTTTGGTCTATAATCCTTTTAGTCACAACTCCAGCATTCTTTAGTATTACTTCCTCATTCACACATTTCCAAGTATTTGAAAATATTTCCTTTCCACTCAAAAAATAATATATATATAACGGTTTATGACTTTGTGATACTTCTTTTTTCAGCTTATGCCGTTAAAATAAATAAAAAAATAAAAAAAATTTGTCGGTTTTGTTTACATAATCGTTGAACAGCATTGGTACTTGCTTCGGCCGCGAGTTGGACACTCCTGCTTTATAACATTGTTTTAGAGTATATGATGTAAATAAAGGTTACGAGAGTTTTCATCTGGCCCACTGTTTACTGGTTTCGTTTCTCAATTTTTTAAAGCAATGATTTAACCATTTAGAAGAGGAAATATCGATTGAACGATATTGGAGGAATTTGTTTATAGTATTAAATAGAATAAAAAAATATGATATATTTGATCAGTTAAAGCTTGTATTGACATCGTTGAAAAATCGGGGTACAACCGATCAATGGAGCAGATGAAATTTGAAGCTTGTATGTTATTAAAATGTTTCCAGAAAGGCATTTTAACGAAATGTTTGGAAGTATTCTCGTAGTTAATTTTACAGTGACTTCAAGGCAGATAGCCGCATGGTCAAACTGGAATCCTTGAGCTGGGAGAGCATTTAAATTAAAGTTAGAAGTAAAAGATAAATCTAAAGAAGAGTATAAACGTGTAGGAAAAAGTATATTTTGGGGAAATATAAAAAATAGAAATATCATTAATAAAAAAATATTATATTCGAATCACAGGATGAATACCAGGGTCCATTGCTGATAACTACGTTAAAATTTTAAGGTAGTTATCAGAAGGAAACGGAGCTGTTTGAAAGCCTAATATCATATAATTAAAACTAAATGTAATTTTTTTATAATTCCGCATGGCTAATAAGTTTATTCATTATATTTTTGTCGTTAATATTGTTACTAGTAATAACATTATTGACATTGCCAAAGTTTAACAACACTTTTCTAACAGTTATCCGTAAAAGTTAAGATGTTTCTGATTATTTATTTTTGTAAATCTTTGGAAATTGTATGATAGTTAGAACTCTCTATCAAGAAGAATATGTCTTAATTGAATATTTGTATACATTTAAAACAAATTATTTCTGTCTCCGGGAGCACAAAGAAAGCCTTCATTCTTGGTTTTGACTAGGCCCGCAAGAAGGCACTAACTAATAAGGGATGGAACTCGACATATCTGAAACTATGAAAAATTACGGAAAATTCTCCCTGATTCGATGCTGAGTCTCCCAAATTTTTTAACTGTCTCGACCTCCTGTATATGCCGTCTGTCGTTAACGTGTTCACTTTATTTTTATGTCTCCTCTTTATTTAATAACATTCTTATTTAAGTAAATATAAAACTTATATCAAATTAATAATAATATGAAACAAAAGAATTGAACAAGTCTCGAGTTCATACAATCTTTATCAACAAATTTAAGTTCAAAAACGTAAAAATTGAATCATTTACATTATTTAGTATTTGATCATTTTTTATACAGATTAAAAACAGACTTAAATGTCTAATATTTATGTTGAAATGAATAAATTATAGGGGAGACCGGAGCAAGATCGGCATGTTAAGCTTTACTTAAATTTTGTGTAATAAATACTGCTGTAAACTGAAAAAAAAAGCTTTGCATATTGTCTATTGGAATGTTACCTTACTATAGAACTGGTTAAAATCAGTTTGGAAATAAAAATAATTAAAATAATTACAACTTTACAAGAAGAGAGAAATTGACGAAGTTGCCCCGGGTATAGGGGCAAGATCGGCAACTTCTCTCTTTTTGTAAAGTTGTAATTATTTTAATTATTTTTATTAAAGTTGCCCCTGGTATAGGGGCAACAGTAATGGGGCAAGATAGGCACGTATATAAAATTATGTTATTAACAATGTATAAGTTGGAATTCACTATTAAAACAAAGAAATACAAATCCAACACCCATTTAATATTATTACAACGAAATGCAAGTTCAAAGACATATATACATGAATAACAAATGCAAACATGTTTTCATTTATCATCTGTTTGATTTTTATCCTTTGCTTCTAATGTGGCTTTATGTTGCCGATCTTACCCCGCTAGTCATGATTTCGAAACATTAAGTACAACCCTGAGAACAGAATGCCAAGCCACGATCTGGCCACGTGAATAAGTTGAAGTTACATCCTTCTAACAGGAAAAGTAACTTTCGTTATCATGGAATTATAACAAAACCTGCCAATTCAATATAAATGGAAAAAAAATATTATATGGAATTGAACGAAAATGAAAATTTGCTTGATAATTCAACTACGCTTGTTGGAGAACAATAAAAACACTACACTCAACAAGCCACCAATAAAACTCAACTGCCTAACCTATAACCAAAGTCTCCTTTTAATTTGTTTAAAAAAAAAGCGCTTGACAAACTTGCCCCGCATGCCGAAGTTGCCCCGGTCTCCCCTACTCCATTTTATATGAAATAATAATTAGTCTCTTTAGAAAAGTGATTTTAAATATATTTCAATCACATTTTTGACAGAAATATTCATAAATTTTTAAAAATTCGTTAAGTTTATCTAAATATCGATTTATGTAAACTCTATTTTACAGTCGAAATGAAGATCTACATTTTATTCTTTTGCACATTGTTAATCTGCAAAGTTGCCTGCAATCGTAATCCGAAACTTCTTTCAAAAGAAGTTTGCGGTAAGCTATATAAATTATTTATTCATGAATCTTATTAACATAAAACTGGTTTATAAATATATTAGATATATTTTTCTTAATTTTAAATTTTAAAAAGTTGTAAACTTATAAAATATGGTTGCAGGTTATTCTGAATCCCGCAAATCTAAGATTTATGACTGCATCGAAAACAACCTTCCTGCTTTTTTCAAAAATAAAGTATTTTGAATTTTTTAAATACCTTTGTTAAGATTTCTAAAATTTTAAAAAATAAACTTTAATTAACCGTGGTTACTTTCTGAGACTGCAGGGGAAACTTTTTGACATCACACTAGAACTACTCCTTTCGGATAGAGCAAATTTATATCCATTTAAAAACTTAATTGCGGGTAAGATACAGATAACCTGTACAATGATGTCACTTAAGGTTAAAGCTGGATAAGGACGTGATATTATACTTTATTGTGTTCTTTCTGATAAACAAGAAATCGAGTAGTTTATAAGGATTTATGAGAAAAGAAAAAAGAGATGATGAATGGGTAATGCCGTTATCAAAAAGTAAAATAACGACATGTTTGATTTAATAATCCGGTAATTAAGAATAACGAAATGCGAAAAGTCTCACAATGTATCCCGGTTTACCGATATATTTATAATATTATAGCATTTATAGAATACGTAATTATATATGTATATATATGATTTTTATCTACTTAGGTTAAAGGTTTTATTCAGTGCATTGGAAGAAATTCTCTTCTTGAAATCGTAAATATGATTTGTGAATCAAACAAACCGGTAAGCTTAAATATAGAAAAGCATACTTAATGTAGATTACTGATTTTGAATGTAATTTCAGTCATACCTCTGAACAATAGCCATTGATAAGAACATAAAAAATAGCCATTTTTACTGTTCTTATCATTTAGATGTTGTTATTGGAGGTTCGACTATTATTTGGTTTGTGAACTTCACAGTATTGTATATATTTTATATTATACATAGGAGGATCTGAAAGCACAATATGCGAATTGCTTTTCTATTTTGGAATTGCACTACGACGTCGACTATAATGTAAGTGATAAATTATTTAATATTTCGTCAATTTATATTTTGTAAAATATACAACAATTACAATTTATTATTATTTCAGAATGCAGTCTATTTCATAGGAATGTGTATGCCGGATGACGAGTAAAAACATGGTTTTGCTAAATATAAAATATTAAAACATTTATAAATGTATTAAAATATTCAAGTAAATAAAACAAGATACTATAAGTAGTATTCTAGACAATTAATAATAAACAAGTATAGAAAATTACAGTAAACTGTACCGAACTTAACATTTTAATTAATCATAAATACATTAATTAAAAACATAAAAGATCGACTTATTTTTGTTTATGTTTTTTACATAAATTGAAACCATATTAGCTGGTTTTTTTGGAATTGCAGTATTCAATGAAAAAAATTAGACAGGAATACACGAAAGTTTGCTTAAAAGTCAGGAAGAAAATTACTTTCAATAAAACGTGAAAATGTTAAAATTGTACTGCCTGTTAATTTATTATACATGACGAAGGAACAAATTCCATACATAGACATGTACTAAATATTTAAAATTTATTGTAAAAGGAGTGATATTCTAAAGTGACAAATCTCTTCAATTTACTGAACAATAAAGTAGCAATATTTATCAGTTTATTTCTTTTATTTTAAATATTGTTATAATGCAAATAAGTTAGAGATATGAATCTATTTTACATCTCAGATTTTAAACGAGATTATTTTACATTCAATGCATTAATTTCCTTTGCAATAAATATGAATTAAAGAACTTGAGATCAGAAATTCTATTAAGGAGGGAGTCACTAATTTCAATGTCAAACCTTTAAGCTATTACTGTTACTATTCTGTATTTGTCGTTTGCAACGAAAGTGTGGAGAAATTAAACAAGTCTCATAAGTTTGTAATTCTACACACGTTTTATTAATACAGTTTATTTCTAAATATATGTAGTACTAACAAATATGTCAAGCGATCCCCGAGCAAAATGTAAGAACAGCAAAGATTGAAATGAAAACCATGTTAACATTTTGATTATTTTTGTATACCACTGCTGTGTTTATCATGAAATGTTAAATAAATTATAAAAAGAAAATATAAAATGTAACAGAACTAAATAAAAACGACAAAAATCTACTTTAAAAAGAAAAATAAATCGATCTTATTTATATTTATTTAAGAAAATTAAGAAAAAACGAAAATTATTTTGAGGCAAATTAACCAATGACTTTTGATTGGCATATTGGAAAACTCCCAGTATGTGTTTTGTGCTTGCTAAGATTGTGAGGCTCGTATTGTACGGATTGGCGCAATTTCATTGGCCAATCCGTACAATACAAAATTTTCGTTTTTCAACAGAAGATTGTTGTTTATTTTCATGAATCAAGAAATTGAAATTGTTTTCTAATATTAACTGTAACGTCCCATTCACAACCAAATATGAAATGGTAATCAACCAACCAATCAAACTTCGCCAAAAATGAACAAAACATTTAAACTAATACCCTTGAAAAACTAAAAAACATAATTTGTGATTGCTGATAACTTTTTAGCAGAGTAATTAGTTTCTCCTCTCTTAAATTTAGGAAAAGTATAGGGCCATTACTCAACAAATTAATCTCTCAAGATTTTTATATTTTTCGACTCGGGATCTTGAAACGCCAAGAAATAAAAAAGCGTTTTTAATATTTTTGTATATTATCGCGTGTTTGTTTGTGGGCGTGTGTTACTTGTGTGTGTTTGGGAAAGTAAATTTTTTCATGCACTTTAAAGCTTAATAACTCCTGTGCTTTTTGTTGAAAATTTGAAATTTGAAAGGACTACTCTTCAAAATTTATCTTAGGGAAAAATGTTTCTAGAAATTTTTATTATAATCAGACCATTGGTTCGAAAGATGCTAAGCAGATAGATGGCCGTATCTCAAAAAGCCTCCAGGTTACGCCATACACAAATTTTTAAACTGGTTTTTAACATGATGGTTTTTGCTATTAGAATGCCATATTCTGCTGATCTGACAGAAAGAATGCGTGTTGCAGGCGAGAGATTAAAGATAATACGAACAAAAGCATTCGTCTACAACTTTTGGATGAGAGCGTACTTCCTCAAAATTTTTATTACATTTGCTCAAACCATATTGAAACGTGTAAAGAACAAACTAACTAACTAAATTTCTTAATACTAGTATATTTGATTCTTTTTATAATAAACACCTAAAATATTCCCATAAAATTCGTTAATTAGTTATTTATATTTATTTAATAAGGAAACAAAATTATTTGATAGGCGAGGCGAATACAGTTATCAATAATAATAAAAAATTCGTCAACAATAACAATTATTTGTAATTTTTCCACGGTTACAAAAGTCCATAATTTATAGCGTTTAACAACACAAAAATAACAAACAATAGTAATAATATTTAATTAGATATGACTATCGTCGTAACATTTGACAATGATTTGTACGTGTAATGCCAAAGTGGCATTTTTAAGGCAGCACATCAATTTAGTTATTCCAATAACAAAAGAATAATTTTTTTTCTTGTTATACATACAGAACGTTTGAAAAGAAGTGGCTGCATCGATACTCATGTATGAAATTTCATGAATGATATCTTACTTATTGCCATACAGAACAGAATTGTCTTCTCTCTTCAACATCTCTTCCTGTGTAAAAACTAAAATCCTTCGATTGAAGATACTTAATTGAGAAACAATTGTTCTTGGCATAATTTTGTAAAGAATCAAAGCATTTTTGCACGAATATCGGAACTTTAGGTGATATGATAAACTGGGTGAATTTTACGGTTATCCAATATAAAACGATTCTGTTAAAACATTTGAAAAATATTAATGAATCATTTAAGTACACAAGAAACAAGGGCGGACACGAATGAAGACTTTCAAATACTAATGTTTAACTTAGTAATTTAAACAATAGTATAAAGAATCAAAATGTTAAGTTTAGTGGATTTGCATGATAGAATCTATGATGGGTTCTATGATTTCCTTTTTGATATATAAGATCGTTTTACAAACGCGCGACTTTGTCTGGCGATGTTTCACGGTTTCCAGCACGTCTTCTAGAGGCTTAAATAAATGAGTTTGTTCCGAAAATTTAACTGGCCTATTTTGATAAAACGTCGCTATCTTCCATTTATTGCGATGAGGAATCCAAAAATGGGATGACGGTCCATTTAAATGTTAAAAATAAAGGTCCATAATTTGGTTTTCGATATATAGAGGTTATCCTCTTTCTGCGTGGTAAACACGTTCTATAGAACACGGTGTAAAGAAAAGGCGCGTAGAAAAGTACAGTACATGCAAAAGTGCGCGATAGGATTCACAACTTTAATCAAACGAAAAAATAAGCAACTTATAAAAATCTCGAGCTTTATTATCCTAACATCATTTATAATTAACATTATTTGTACCTATTGTACTGTAAGTGCAAGGTAACATACCAAACATAAACTCGACGTACGGCATTCTCTGATGTACTGTACATATAGTATTCTAAACTGTGCTTTAAGAAAAAAAGTTAGCTATTAATTTCAAGAATTTTAACAAAAAGTTAAACTGGAAAGTTTTCAAATAAACGGTTTTTCCCGTGTAAAAAATCAATCGCCGAAAAAGAAGATTAGTTTTCTTTTGTCGACCGCGTTATTTCAAAATTTTGCGTAAAAAGGAGAGCATAAAAAGAAGGATAGGTGTACTATACTCATTGTAATAAAGGCCGAGAGAGCCCCAAACTAGCAATTAATATTTTGTTACTTACTCCAGGGAATTGAGAATTGAATTTCGGCTATCTGGTTCAGAAGTCAGTGTGTTAGTCATTACTGTATTTAGTTTACACTCGCATGATATTTTACATCTAAAAAAGAAGCCTCAGATGTAGCCATGCTACATCTGAGGCTTCTAATGGGCTCTATAGGTACTATTAAACACGGAATAGGGGTAGATAAGAAATTATTGGTCATGAGGTAAACAGTGTCTTTACATTGATGTTCTTTCTTGTATTCAAATTTTACAAATGTCAGAACAAACAAGTACTAGTACATACAAATCGTAGCTCATTTTAAACGATATTGATGGTTTAAGTCCATTAACAAACAAAAGTAAATATTTATTTTTAAATAGTAATCAGAAATCTATAGGCATATATAGATTCTGAAAATGAAATTTAACGTAACTCATTTATTCATTTTTGGTCGTTAATTAATAATGTTTTACATACGTTTTACTTAACCAAAAATAGTATAAAATTGCATTTCGGCTTTTGATTTTGCTGCAAAACCCTCTTTTGTTACACCTCTAGTTATTCTAAGAGGATTGTGCCTATCACAATTAGACAAAATGCAGTGATATACACTGCATTTTGCCTAATTGTGATAGGCAATATACGGACATAAACGTGCACTAAAAAAGTCGAAATGAATCCAAACGAAAAATATTAAATAAATACATAATTTCACATTTAATGGTCTTTGTATCGATTGACTATTAAAAACTCGAAATTGGCTATCATTCTTACCTTATTAATATTTTATATCAATTCCTAAGTGCATATTAATATTAGCAAAAATCCTATCCAAATATTTACAAAGTTAGAGTTTTTCTTCTTATTGTTACTACACAGTATATATGGCTGCTTTATTACAAAAGTCTCATATCATAGAAAATGCGTGATTTCTTTAAAATAGTTTTATAAAATTATTATTAAAGATATTCTTTACAAATCATCTCTACTTTTCTCACAGCGTAAAGCTGTTTTTCAATGAGGGTCGCGACCTCAGTGGTCGCAAAGCCTTACACGTGGGGTTACGGGTAAAAGAAAAAGACAAGTGTTTATAGGTCCTACACTACAATAAAAAAAAAACTACAATTTCAGTGAGCTCCTTTGGACTGTTTGGTTGAGAGGTGACGCATAAGCTTTGATGGTTTCCTACTCTCACGTGATAATACATCGCCACAAATTACACATTGAGGTTTATTATTCATGACAGTAAACCCGTATTTCAAGTAATTGTCGTCGTAATGTCTATTTTTTTCGGTTTTAATTGACTTCCATCACTGCCACTTGTACCAGACGTGGAGGGCTGCGATCTTTTGAGAAACTTGTCCATTTTATGCACGTGCGGAGCAAAGCGTAAAGACAATACAATCGCGTCTGTAATTGTTGGTGCAGTCGGACAACTGATGGAAACAAAAGAAAGCTAGCGTACGTTACTGCGCGGGCAGCACGAGGCGCACTCGCCTCCAGCGCCCCCGTGGCAAAGTTACTATTTGCAGGGCTCTTGCGACTTCTTTGCATAATACAATTGGTTTTTCGATTGATATTTAGGTTTCAACAGAACGAAAATTAAATACGTAGTTCCTAAAATCACTGACACAGTTTTAATATGACTGTGGGGGTCGCCAGAATTTTTTAACTTGTACAGGGGTCGCGTATTCAAGAAGGTTGAAAAACACTGGTGTAAAATATAAAAACTTCGTTTATTCTTTTGTAAAGCAGATTTAAAATAAAATTTGTTTCAGTTAATTGAGTATTTTGGCTCTTTTTTGAGCTCTTTACAGCTATCACAGTATTTATCATGTAGTAAGTGGCGAACAAAACTTTGCTTAAATTTTTTAAATTTTATTTAAATCTACTTTTTGTTATGTATACTTTAATAATAAAATATTTAAATATTTAAATGCTAAAAATGAAAAAAACATTTGAAAATGCAAAACAACATTCCTACATGAAAAATACAAAACCTCAACAAATACCCGGTTTAATTTACTTTATTAAAATTTGTAATCGAACATATAGTTTTATATTTATTATTTTCATAAAACATGTAATACGACCCAATGTTATAATTTATAAATGTAAATATACAGAAATTCCTGGAACGTTTTCTATCGTATAAAAACAACCTGCCACTAAATAAAAAGGAAAAAAAAAACACGATTAAGGTAGTCTATATAACGGAAGTACTGCAGTTTCTGTAGCAGGTAAGTACAGTACATTCGTCAGAAAAACGAAATGGAATCACTGCAAAGAAATGCGCATAGCCATATGCAAATTGCAGGAGCAATAGAGATGACAGAGGTGAGCAATCGGTTCATATGTTACTTAGTTTCGGACTATAAAGACCAGTAACCAGCTCGGGTAGTAAATGCTATCAGTGACGGCTCGCGCAGCCCAACTTTCAAAGAAGCGTAGAAAATGCCAGGGAGGCGTAAGCGGGCCAAATACCTTTAATTTACAACTGGGGAACGAAACCGTATCCTGGACTGCACGACCTCGGTTTGTCGTTGCACGCAGTTTCCACGCGTGATGAAAACGACGTGAGCACCATCCAGCGGTGTGTTACTCGATAGACATAAATACATCTGCGAACACGCAGAAGATAGAGTGGATCACACCAGCGCACAACAAAGCGTACAGACTGTCAGATTCGCCGAACGACCGTCGGAGCCGTTCGCTGCGGTACGTGACATCCGAAGCAGCACGTTGCAGAAAACAGGTCATTCTGTGTTCAACCAAATCATTTTCAACAGGTTTTATTAAGTCGGCTACATGCATTGAAACCAACAACCGGGGTGCCGTTAAGCGCTCGACACAGGGCTACACACATACCTGGACTTGTATTGTTGCCATCGTAACTGGACCACTGAATGACGAATGAATACAGCCTCTATCTGTAGGGAAATGACGAGTGTGGCGGTTTCCCGGAAACGCTACGTGCTAGCCGTTTTCTCGGAGCGAAACGAATATCATGGAGGCATCGATCGGCACCAGTGTAAATTTCTCGTACTCTGACAGCGGACCAGTACGTCACACGAATTGTGGGACCTGTGGTACAGCCTCTGCACTACCTGCACCCGACACTATGTACCAGCAAGACAATGTCCGACCGCACGTTGAATGGCGAACTCTCATCAGCCTTAACGGAATACATATCCTTTTCTGGCCGGCCGTCATCTTCTCTGGATCTCTCTCCCATAGAACTCCTGTGGAGTACACCGAGAACTACCGCCATGTACCATTCCATTCCATAGCCGATAAAGGAGTGCCCAGCTTGTCGCATTCACTCCTGAAGAAACAGTGAGGAAGAGGCGGTCTTATAGAAGACGACCAATCCGAGGAAGACAGGAGAGAGGTCACTACGTGACCAAAGCCGGTCTTATAAGAGACGACCCCCGCGAGAAAGGGAGACAGAATGCCTTCCGGGAGGACTTGGAGGGAAACCTGGCCCCTATTCAGGCGTTATTGGCTAGGAGGAAAACCTGGAAAAAACTCCAGCTGCCAGCTCGTCCGAGTGAGTCGCGAACCCCCGATCGAACTCCGGTTTTTAGGGTCTGGTCACCACCAAGAGGCGGTGACGGAGTCCACTCGGCCACCGGTGGGCACACCGCCATGTACCGTAGACCACATACACACTGCAGTGGACACAGCTTGGGAAAGACTACCTCTGACAACCATCAATCGTCTCATTGATAGTATGCCTCGCCATATATCGGCCTGCATAGCGGACCATTCATGTCATATTCGTTACTGAATTAACCAGTTTCCATCTGTTGCATATCTTTGTTTGTTCTTTTAATCATTTAAATATCTCCGGTCTTACAATGTGCACGTGGCTACCCGCACTTCTTTTTAGTGTTCGGATCTTATTTTTTGAGGTATGTATAATTTATTTACTTTATATTTAATCGTTACTGTAGATGGACAATAGATTTCCACCTTTAACTGCGTGGAAATCTATTGTCCATATTATCATATAATCCAGAAAACAAAATTACCCAAGATTACAATAAAACACAATTAAAATTAACAATAAAAATAAATACAATAAAAATTATATAATAACAAGAAATATAAAAAAGGGAAGACAAAATGACATAAGGACATAATAAAATCTCACATTATGTAGAAATCGTTGCATAAATGTTTCTATTTTGTAAAGTCCTAATAATAATAACGTTCAACAGGAGACATGTTATCAACGAAATGGTTAAAATTCGATCGATATATTTGACTCGTTCTTTGAAATTAGGTAATCCCAGTCTAACTCTTGCCACTTCAACATTATTAGTATATAATAGATGACAAAATTTGTTCAGAAAGAAGTATACTTTGTTTATTTGATTAGTGTATTTTTACTTATAACTTTTATTGTAGATGAATGCTATTGTTTCGGAATATATTTATAGCTATATTAAAGTAGTCTGGAAAAAGTTTAGATAGGATAGGTAGTAATGTAAAAAACAACAAAAAAATAGATGGCAGGAACACGATCTGGACTAAAATTTAAGTGTTTTAGCTTGGCAATGGTTTTTTTGACTTCTGAAAACGATAGGCTATAACGATTGGTAAAATTATTACAAGAAAGAGCTGTAAAATTATTATCAGGTAAAATACGAAAAAATCTAGCTTTAATATTGTTGTAAATCTCATATATCATGTCGTCAGGTATATGTTGTTTTTTCTTAGGTATTTCTCGGAAAAACTTAGGAATAAATCTCCAAACCGTACGAGGTGTCAAAAGCATAATTAGAAAGAACACTTAAGAAGTAATTTCCAAAAGATACTTGGCATTCTTTATAAAATTGTTTTTGGAGTATATAATGTAAGTGAAAGTGACGACGGTTTCCACTTCGTTTCCATCTGGCCCATTGTTTTCTAGTTACATTTCTCAACTTTTTAAGCAATGATTAAACCATTTACAAGAGGAAATATCAATTGTACGATATTGGAGGAACTTGCTTATAGTAGAATAAAAAAATATGATATATTTGATCAGTTAAAGCTTGTATTGACTATATTTTGGGTAAATATATATGTATTCAAATATTCAATTAAGACATAGTCATCTTGATAGAGAGTTCTAATTACCATACAATTTCCAAAGATTTCGGCAAATAAACAATTAGAAATATTTTAACTTTTTGCAGATGACTGTTAGAAAGATGTTGTTAAGCTTTGGCAGTGTCAATAATATCATTACTAGTAACAATATTAACGATAAAAATATAATAAAGTTATTAGCAATGTGGAATTATTTAAAAAATTACATTCAGTTTTAATTAAATGATATTATGCTTCAAAACGTACCTTAACGTTTTAAGGTAGTTATCGAAATTGGACCCTCCTACTCATTTTCCAATTATGATGAAACATCTGTTATTAATGACATGTACTATTTTTTAAAACAAACTAGTTCTGTCTCCGGGAGCACAAAGAAAGCCTTTATTCTTCGTTTTGGCTAGGCCTGAAAGGAAACACTAGTCAATAAAGGATGGGGCTTGATATATCTGTTTAATCTGTAAAAAATTACGGGAAAGTCGCACTGATTCGATGCTGTATTTCTCCACGGTCTTAACTGTCTCATCCTTCCTGCTATCAGTAGTAGCCTATATACTGTCTGTCGTTATAATGTTCACTTTATTTTTATGTCTCCTCTTTATTTAATAACATTCTTAATTATGTAAATCAAAAATTTAAATCAAATTAATAATAATACTGTATAAAACAAATCAATTTAACAAGTTTCAAGTTATCTTTATCAACAAATTTAAGTTTTAAGGAGAAATTAAAAATTAGTTTCGTTATTTAGTAATTGATTATTCTTTATACAGATTAAAAACAGACTTAAATGTCTAATATTTATGAGATGAATAAATATATTCCATGAAATAATAATTAGTCTCTTTAGAAAAGTGATCTTAAGTATATATATTTAAATCACATTTTTGACAGAAATATTTATTAATTTTTGAAAATTCGTTAAGTTTATTTAAATATCAATTTACATAAGTCCTATTTTACAGTCGAAATGAAGATCTACATTTTATTCTTTTGCACATTGTTAATCTGCAAAGTTGCCTGCAGACCTAATTCGAAACGTGTTTCAAGACAAGTTTGCGGTAATTTATATAAATTATTTGTTTATGAATCTTATTAACATAAAGCTAATTTTTAAGTTTGTTAAAATATTTGTTAATTTTAAATTTTAAAAAGTTGAAAACATAAAATATGGTTGCAGATTATCCTGAATCCCGCAAATCGAAGATATATAACTGCATCGAAAACGAGCTTCCTGATTATTACAGGAATAAAGTATTTTGAACTTTTTAAATACCGTTGTTAAGATTTCTACTATTTTAAAAAATAAACTTTAATTAACCGTTGTTACTCTCTGAAACTGCAGGGAAACTTTTTGACATGACACTAAAACCCACTTTTCCGATAGGGCAAATTTATATTCATTTCAAAACTTAATTGCGGATAAGATACTGATAACCTGTACAATGATGTTACCTAAGATTATAGCTAGATAAGGTCGCTACATTGTGCTTTATTGTATTCTTTCTGATAAACAAGAAATTGAGCAGTTTATGAGATATGTGATACTTTTTTCGGTTGTGAGAAAACAAAAAGAGATGATGAATGGGTAATGACGTTGTTAAGAAGTAAAATGACGACATATTTGATTCAATAATCCAGTAGTTAAAAACAAACAAAGCGAAAAGTGTCACAAAGTATCCCCAGTTTTCCGGTATATTTATGATATTATAGCATTTATAGAATATGTAAACACATATATTATATTTATAATATTACTTATAATTTAATTTATTATATATATATTATATATCATTTTGCCTACTTAGGTTAAAAGTTTTATTCAGTGTTTTGGAAAAAATTCTCTTCTTGAAATTATAAATATGGTTTGTGAATCAAAAATGCAACGGGTAAGTTTAAATATTAAAAGCATACTTACAAAGTAAATTAATGATTTTGAGTGTAAATTCAGTCATACCTCTGAACAATAGCCATTGATAAGAACATAAAAAATAGCCATTTTTGTGTTCTTATCATTTTGATGTTGTTGTTATTGAGGTTCGACTATTATTCGATTTGTGAAATTCACAGTACTGTATGCATTTTATTCTACATAGGAGGATCTGGAAGCAGAATATCCGGATTGCTTTTCTATTTTGGAATTCAAGGATGAAGCCGAGAATGAAGTAAGTGATAAATTATTTAATACTTCGTCAATTTATATTTTGTGAAATATACAATAATTACAATTTATTATTATTTCAGGCTGCAGTCTCTTACGCAATACAGTGTATGTCCGATGACGAGTAAAAAAATGGTTTTACTAAATATATAGTATTAAAACACTTTTAAATGTATTAAAATATTCAAGTAAATAGAACAAAATACCTATAAGTAGAAACATATTCTAGAGATTAATAATAAACATGTATAGAAAATTACAGTAAACTGTACCGAATCTAATATTTTAATTAATCATAAATACTTTAGAAACATATGTGAGAAGCTAGCCGGGGATACGGAGTAGTTTATTACTCGTGTGTCACTTAATCGGCGTCTATTCTCTAGAATAGTCCTCAGTTGCCCAAAAGAATGGCTTTTCCTAATTCAACGAAAATCGAGGGCGGAGGGACTTACAGTTTTGAAGTTAAATTTTAAAGCGAGACTAAAGATTTCATAATCTTCCGTTCTCTAGTCAGGATCCCGACACCAGTTAATCAAATTTAGATACGCGGATTAACACGCGTGTGACGAAGATAACACGGATTCGATTCAGATAATTGAAAGACATCTCTTAACAAATAATAAAAGAATTTAATAAAACGAAAGTAAATAAAATTACACAAAATGGAGATACTCAATAATTAAATATAAACGATTTAGATATTAAACGATTGAGAGGTTAACGAGAGAGAGAGCTCACAATTTCAATTAAAATCCTACTACCTCAAAGTTTACTTTATCTTTATCTTCTGTATTTTATGATTATACTTCGTTTCATGGAGAGGTCTTGATTTGGCACAATATTAAAAGTTTCTTCTATTCTCCTAATTAAACTCATTATTAAACTCGATGGGATACGACTAAGGGCGTTGGCCTTATGGAGCAAATATGGGATGCTTCTCTCCTCTATGAGATCTCCTGACGTACTCCCCGAATCATGTAGATCTTTGACTATATCTCATGATTTGTGACCAATCAGCATATTTGGATTCTTTCACGTGAACGGAGGAAAAGAGGAGTTATTGAGGGGTCGACAATTCCCAGGGTGTGAGATTTGTGGTAGATAAATGGAAAAGAAAAGGGTGTATCTACTTCCGTTAAAGGAAGTGGCTCTTTTATCAGTTTTCCAACGTTAGAAAATGATAATTTCACACCCAAAATGAAAGAATATTTTACTTCATACTTTTAACTTTATATTTAAATTGTTAATTAGACCCAGGGACTATTCGGATCTCACACATAAAAGATCGACTTATTTTTTTTATGTTTTTTACAGTATATAAACTGAAGTCGTATTAGCGATATTTTGCTATTATTTAATGACAAAATTAGACAGGAATACACAAAAAATAGTTTTCTTAACGGTCAAGAAGAAAATTACTTTTAATAAAGAGTAAAAATGTTGAAATTCTGCTGAACGTTAATTTATTTTTTATATATGCTGGGTGAACGAATCTCATACATTTATTTATAATGAATATTTATGACTTAGTTTGAAAAGAAAAAAGCAATGTTCTAAATAGGGTTTCTCATTTCCCGGTCTTTTGCTTGTCCCGAGATCCCGGGAAATCCTGGGATAGAATTAATTATTTTTAAGGTATACAAAATATCTTGA